CCGCCCCCTCTTCTCATTTTAAGACCCCAAATTGATTGTTTTGTTAGCGGATAATGTGATTAATAATTTATTAATAAAAAAGTAGATTTTGAAAAATGGGCTCTGTATATATATTTCGTTAATCAAAAATTATTCATCCCCGGATTCCCCTGTATTCCCCCGGGCGCCATCCCCCGTCCAGTCCGTGGATTGTGCTGACAGGGGTCACTTAAGTTATAACTTTTCGTTGACAGCACAATTAAATTTTTTGAATCAAATTTTCACGAAGTTTCGTATTCAACGATTTTGAAATGTCTGAGCTATGAAAGTGTGGAGTAGTGGTGTTCGATGAACAGTTAATTTTAAAATATAGTTATGTTCCCGCAGTTATACTAATACCCAGTCAGCCCCGTCAAATAAATAGTCAGACTAGACTCGGGGTAACGAGCAAAGTCTAATGGTGCACACTGAATTCTAATAAATCACTATGTATATGAGACGAAAATGATTTTATTTGTCTGACGTTTCAGTATCCGTGGCAGATTCAGCATCAGAGGCAGAAGCAGAAAACAATCACAGAAACGAGTAACATATGCACACGTGCATATTACAGGCCTGAAATTAATTCCGTTACTTGGCCCCAGCAACTCTGACTTATGCCAAGGCAACTGCCTTAGACTAAGTCTACATTCCGAAATTGAGGGCATTTTGAATTTGTGCTTCCAACAGAAAAATCATTTTAGTAATACATTTAACAACTAAGGCAAATATGAGCATAATTCGACATAAATAACCTCCCGTTCGGCGAAACTACTCATACTTAAAACTACCAAGGCTCCTATTTAGGCGGTAAAATTAGCCTATTAACTATAAATCGTGGCCATTTTAAGAAAGCGAAGTCATGCCGGTGTTATTAGTTAGAACCCATCACAACTAAAAGTGGGTGAACATTACTATTATATATTTATTAAGGCATACGCGGCTCCCCTTTGATCGTTCTTTGAAGTTATTAACTCTACGGTGTCAGCAGTAGTTAGCAGTTCCAAAGGTACAGGTCTAACTTTCTGGTGGGTAAGATTATGTGTTCGGAGTTTATTTACTCCAGTATTATATCACTTAAATAAATTGTTGGATGCAGTGTACAATATTTCATTTTTAAACGGGTCTTTCATTATTTGCATGAAATATAAAATATTCGATTGACCCGATTTAAAAAATTCGCGGCCTCGATGGAAGTCGAACCCACACAGCAGGAGGGCTTTTGCGCAGTTCTATAATGTACTGCGTTGGAATCTTGACAGGATTGTCTTGTAAACGTTGGGCTACGCAATCAGTTGCTATGGGCAAAACAAGGCAACCACGTCAAAAGATATGATGATAGATGAAAACCGAATTTAATCACTCGGTGCACGGTGAGCCTCGTAGCTCAATGGTAGAGCATTGGCTGCGCAAAAGCCGTCCCTGCTGTGTGGGTTCGAGTCCCACCTAGGTCGCGAATTGGGTCAATCGAATTATTAAAATTCGCCAATTCCCTAACAATGTATGTCCAATGTCTTCAACAAGTTTCATAGGCTATATTAAAATAACTTGTAACTAAAGTCCCACGAAGTAAACTAAGGCTAATAAATTACACCACCCATTACAGCAAGGACTCGTCGCGTTGATTTGGATGCTCCTCCCGACGATCCCCCACCCCAGCCAGCCAACGCATCGAACGTGGACGAGGGAGAACATTTTGGGACGAATGTTAATGCTGCCAAGGGTGAGTAAGAAGCATTGTATAGCGGAAAAAGTTAAGTAGACGATGTTATGGAAAATATATAAGACTTACTGAACTACGGCACTGATTATGTGCAAATTTTAAGCGATCTTAATGCGTCTCTGTCGATGCTAACTCAGAATATCCGCAAAAATAATTATCTTGAGTTTTTTAGCGTGCAATAGTACACTACAATATTTGGTAAACAGTAAAGAAAACAAAGTCCCACTAAGATACAAAGCGTTCATTGATGCATGGTGAGTGTGATACTGACTTTATGCTTACAGGCTGTTGTTCCTCGGGGGCATACTTAGGTCATCAATCGAATACTGTTCATTTAATACAGTGGACAATTAAAGTTAGGGTTCAGAAAGTTTGCAAATGGAAGATAAGCCGGATCATACAGATAAATTTTTAGTTGGCACAGACTTGACTGCACTGCCTAAAATTAGGCATGGTTCGTTTGGGGAAATAAGTCTGTATGTATGTGAAATTCATGGGTTGTGAACGTAACTTGGTCAGTCACTGCATTCAATAGCACGTCTATGCATATATGCCCTTGTCGAAAATGTTCACCTGCCTATACTACTAGCCGTTGAGCGGCTGCTGGCGGTGCTCGAGAGTGAGCCTCAAGGCACAACGGAACGCATGAGTTCCGTACCGATCGATGAGCGCACATCTATAATGGTATATGCATGTATATATATGCACAACCTTCGTCTTAACGGTGAAGATTAGTCTGCAAGGGGTACGGTCTCTCATGTGGTTGTTTTGAATTCTAAATATACAACCAAAGGCGTAAGGCCTATCTTGAAGTCTTCTTTGGTCTACTAAAAAAATTCATCTACTAGCAACCAATGGGTGCATTCATAACTCGTGAACAACTGTCTGAACAGCCAAGATGGCTCTTCGTAAACCGACTGAAATGCAACTTAGTAAGGCATGAGGAAAGGCTTTTCCCCGTTAATACAGAGATTTTCAGTCAGTATATATAGAGTAAATGACAGAAGCCTTTAAAACTCAAATGAAACGGTACAGGAGTGCATAAAATGTAGTATATACGCACAAACTGTTACAAGTCGTTTTGTTATGCAAAAATGCGTAAAAATATTAAAAAAACATGAATAGTTTAAAAAGCAAGGCGTTTGCGAAATAGCAGCGTGGAACACGTTCACTGGATTTCCACCAGGGAATGGTCACCGGAGCCAACTTTGATATAAATATAAGGTCTGTTGAAATCAACTAAGTAGTATATGTCTCCGTTGAATGTTTAGAGTTGCCTTTAAGAGGTGATTATCCAGACGTCTCTTGAACACACTCACAGTGGGGGAATGCACAACAGACTCTGGCAAAGAGTTTCATTGTCGAATGACTCCTTGAGAGAAGAAGGATGAACGTTGGTTTGTGCGGCTCAGTTCCTTCTCCAAATGCCAATCGTGTTTTCTGAGGTTCCTTCCTGGAGCCGTTTGAAAGAGATCCTCTCAGTTGACAAGAAGATCTCCCACTTCATATTCAGATCCAATTTTGCGCAGAATCCCAGGAAGTTTTATCATTTCGTATCCTTATTCTAACCCCAACACGATAAACTCAACCCTTATTCTGTCTCAGCCATAACCTTAACGCTGTCCTTCATATTTATTCTAGTCTCCTTGAAAATTAGCTCAATGCCCGTAGCAATGGATGCCAATTTTCTGAAGTGCGACTAATGTTCTCGTTGGTAACCAGGTCGAATGTGAATATGAGCCTGTGGAAATATTTTACGATCTCGAGTAGGCTTTTACTCATAAACTGTACGTATTTTCAGCATAATTTGGACATAATAGGCATCTGTAGCTTCCGATGTGGGCGTTTGAGGTAAAGCGGTGACAGCTTTGCATCGTCAAGGTGAATCAATTCGTACATTTCGGGATCAAACTCAGAGGAATATGGACCGAGAGAGCTTATGCGGTTGGGCATATTGTCAGTATGTTTTGGACTTGGAAGAAATTGGTTTATAGGGTAAAAGTGATTGCCCGAATAGTAAAGTTCCAAGAGTGTTAAAGCACGTTTCACAGAAGCAGTTGAAATAACGTTGGCCTGAACTTATTGAAATTTATTAGTGAACGAAGTGAGAGATGTCCAATAAGGTAAGCAATGCTTTAGCCCTGGTTCCTGTCCTGGATATCTTAAACGTATCGTTCGGTGAAAGATGCAAATTGTCCTACGCAGCCTATAAGTATCTTTGCCCTCGGATAAATAATTCGCTTTTGTAGGTGGGAAAAAGAAGAAAGGTTCCAAAATGCCGCCATCTGGACCACAAATCAGCATTCTGTACATGTCAGAGAACGCAATTAATTCCATCGGCCGTGGTGGAAGCTTCGCTCCAGTTCGGGCCATGCAGCTTCTAAAAACGTATGTTTTGAATTTTAAAGACTTGAAATTATATGATATGAAGGGTACTCCGCATGCATGTGACTTATAGGTCCCAGAATGACAGGAGTTAATTTGTTTTATTTGTAATGAAATGATATCTATCAGGAAAGAAACCAAATTTAACGTGATACTTTCATCATTTTTTGGGTTGAATATAGACAAAGCACCTTTATTGTGACTATTTCAATGCCCTTTCAAAGTGATATCTAGTATTCTTATGAAAGAGGGAAGACCGAAAAAGCAAATACTGGCATTTTATAACGCCAGTCCAGGAATGGTTGAGTGGAATCAGAGCTAGCTACTCATATGTGCGGCCTACGAAATGACCGACACTAATGGATTTGAAAATTCAACTAGGATCTTTTAGTTAATATCCAGTCAACTGCACATTGGCAACTGGATGAAGTAAAAATCGACTAAACATACAGTGAGAGAGCGGCCTATACATTTCCTGTTGCGCACAAGTTGCAATGCGTTTTGGCATTTACAAAATCTACTGTACTGAAGATACGCCGGTTTAAAGACATTATGCCAAAGGTCTGGCTTTCGTAATAGGATGCTCTTCGGCATTTCAAAGCTCGATTTCCTATAGTAGCATACAGCTGTACGCTGGTCGATGCAGTTCTGAACCCTGCACTGTTACTTCCGAACTGATGCTTGATTTCCCCCTACTCCCCCCCCAAAAAAACTGTTGTTTATTTTGCTGCCGCTTTTATCTCTGAAGATGGACTCCAGAAGGAGTTCGGAAGCTCAGGTTAATTAGGATAAGACTTGATTGAGGTAACAATCCTCTTCCTCGTTATTTATACGTACACCAGAAATGCGAACATTCATATAAATGCAGCTAATCCTATGTTCGAGAAATTCTCCATGAGAGCGGACATTTTCACCTTTGGAATATCAATGGCAAACAAAACTTCTCAGCTGCTTAGCTGAACAGTAGGGCAGGAAACCTGTAGATTGCCCGGCAAAAATGATATGAGCTCTTGCGTTGCAATATGACATGTATATATTTCTTCGACATTTTGGAAGAAAGAGGTAATAAACATCCATATAATACGACAACTTCGAAGATTTTGTCAATTTGGAAACGCTGTACTTCCTCTTGCTTCAGCCATCTATAATAATAATTTAGGCGGCTCATGCCTCTCCGACTCCAGTAACAAATGCTTGTCCACATTCAAAGATGGCTAGTCTGGCCCTTGTCGATATTTGCTGTGGTATCCCATTCCCAACACTAAAACTATCAAACTTAGCGACATCTGTACAATGTTTAACTTGGTAATGGTGACATTGAGGAAAAGCTCACCAGTTCTATATGGGAAATGACATCAAGGATGAGAGCTTTTTCGGCTGACCGATGAAGATTCATACTTGAGAAGTGGGTTATTTATCGAGGAGCCTTGCTCTAAAGCGGCACCAGCTGTAATTAACTTTGATCGTTCTTGGGGCAACAACGATTGGAATTCATTTTTCGCAGATTTTGAACATGATTACATTAGCAATAGCTTTATAACATAGGATTTTTATCGCCTAAGTAAACACACAATGAGATTAGACGCACCAGCATAGTCAACAGGCATATCTCGTCCAAATTGCATACGCTAGTCTCTTTTTCTTCCCCAACCTCGAAGAGCAACTGACACTAGGTCATGCAACACACGCAGACGGATTGATTAATTTTCCCGACCACAGTGTCCATGCAAACCTCCATTCGTCTTTGTCTTACCGTCAGAGCATAGTGGCTGTAGGAGAAGTATTAGAAAGACGCATGGAAAGTCTACTGCACTATAAGCACAATCACCCACAAGTCGCCGCCTTTGCATCTACCTCGTCACTTGGAACGATCGAGTTAACATTTTTTGTTTCAACTTTATTTGTTTTGTGATGAGCTGAAGCGTAAAAATTCGACTACTTCCTGTCTGCAGGGTAACAGTTCACAATGTTATTCCCTTTTCCTTGTATCGATGTAAAAAAAAGCCACAGAGAAAGAATCCTATAAGATTTTGATTAAGGCGATACATTTTGAATATTATTCTGATTCTTGACCAGTATCTGATAGGGCAGGAATCGTGCTCTAGAAGCACCGAATAAACTTCCTGTTTCAGCGATCTCGTCT